CAGTCATAGGTGAGGCTTTTTCAGAGGTACCTGAATCTAGAGGGTGCTATGCTAGGATTAAAGGTGTGTGATTACTAACTCAATCCACTGATTCGCTTGGCACCACCTAATCCCACCAGTCTAGATACAGTATAAAAGAAACAGAAAGAAGCTGATAAGACCCCCTGCTTGCATGCTCTGTTGCCTTCTGCCTGTCATTAAATGTTTCTCCTCTATGCATCTGTCTGCCATGTGCCACCATGGCACTGGCCAATTTATGGACTGAAACTTACACAATCTGAGCTAAATAAACCTTTCCTCCCTTAGCTTGTATGCACTGGGTATTTTGTCTCAGCAATGAGAAAAGTAAGACAGAGCAAATATTTGTTTTATAATTTAAATGAACAATTAAAATAGATCAAAGTGTTTTAAAGCATACAAAAGCAATGACAGCCTCTGAACCATGGGGATCTGTCAACATTAGAGATCTAAGAAACTGAATTTGGGAGAATTTTCTTCTCCACGTGCCCCAAATTTTCTCTCCCACATTTGTGGCTCATTTAAATTTCTAAATACAAGCAAGGGTTTTATTGTCTTGGTCACTTTTACCGCTGAGAAAGTGATCACTGAGTCACAATACTGGAGCCTGTGACTTAAAGGAGAGGTTTGCGTTGGCTCACAGTTGGTAGATAGTTCAGTCCATAGCCCACTGACTCCAAGGCAGAGGGGCCTAGCAGAAAAAAGGTGCTCACGCCATGGCAGCGAGGAAGCAGAACATGAAGAAAGGCAGAGGACAATTAACGTTTCCAGCCACGCACCCACTGACCAGCCTCTTCAGGCCAGACTGCAGGTCCTAGCAGCAACCAGTCCCATGCCACCAGAACCCCGTGGGGCTTCCAAGCCCCACTTTCGAGTCCTCGAGGCTTTGTGGAGGCAGCCAGGTTTAAATCATAACATTCTACTCCTAGCCCCCAAAATAGCCATGTCCATCTCCTCACACAAAGGCCACCCAGTCCATCTCTAAAGACTGCCACATCCTCACAGGTCCAGTACTGGTGGAAAGTCCAAGTCCAAAGTCTCCTGAGACTCAAAGCAAAATCTTAGCTGTGAGCCCTTGTAAAAATCAAAAAGAATGATAAACACTGCCAACGTACAACAGCACAAGCTAAATATTCCCTTTCCAAAGGCAGAAACAGGAAGATAGGCAGGAATGGAACCAAAGCAGGACCAAACTCCAGCAGGACAAACATTAAATCCTGTAAGGACAGTTAACAATAACTTTCTAGTTTCCTGGTTTCTCTTAGGGCCAAGTATCTGCAAGTCAAGTTTAAAGATAAGTAGTTTCCTTTTATACAGGGTATGGATGTAAAAATGCAACCACTTATGTCATGATAAGTGGCTATACTGGTACATGTCACCTAGCAGGTATTTTCCAAAATATAAAACATATTTAATCTGTGTTTTCAAAGTAAGCATAGTATTTTAATTATGACTAAGAAAATAATTACTTTTTAGAGGATATTTATACTATAGAGACAATTCTTTTTAAAACTCTACTTGGAAGTATTTCCATTGTTCCATGACTTTGTTGCTCAAAATAATGTCTACTAAAAACAGTCTATTTTCAAAAAGTCATTATCTACAAAGGTTATAAAAGGTTTTAAAACATGAGGACTATCCCAACCAATCTAAGTCTTTTGCACAAAGAATTCAGGAGGAGGGTTTAAGTCTAACTTTCATATTCTGCACGTATAAAATGTAGCATTTACAATTGACTAGGAAAGCAACTGAGATCAGGGGAAAAGGGAGTATCACTGTCAATTTAAATAAGATCCTTTGCATAACTGATAGTTGTAGAGAACTGAATCAGTAGTAATTTAGCCTGAGGTACAAGGATTCCATTAGGATCTCTGCATCTTTATATCTTTTTTTCAGTCATAAAAGTGATTAGAAGGAATCAACTGTTAAGAGCAAATGAATTTGGAATACTAACTGAATAATTAATATGTGGGTATCACATCAAGACTTATCTTAGTCCTTAACACAACACACTAAAATGAAAAGATCAGCAACAGCAAGTATTTCTGCTTTGATATTATCATTTTAGTTGATATAACTCATACTTTGATGAGAGTGAAACAATTCTCAGATTAGGTGTAATCACAAATTATTTTGCAATGATTCTGAAATCAAACTATAAAACTCAAATATCACCACTTCTGGAGCTGGGTGTGGTGGTGGACAACTATAAACCCAGTACTCTGAAAGGTAAGACTAGAGGATTGTTGGGACTTCAAGGCCAATGTGGATTACACAGTGGATTCAAGGCCAGACTAAAATACAAAGTGAGACACTGTCTCAGAAAACAAAAACAAATACACAACATACAACACTGCTGATTTCCCACAAGGATCAAAACCACACACACACACACACACACACACACACGGATAAAGCCACATACACCCACAAATTAAAACAATGTCCAACATAGTCAGTACACATTAACTGCCTTCCTTTTCATGTTAAACTATGGCATGTATGGCGTCCACTCTGATATGTCATCTTCATTGCATTAAGAAATGTCCAGGAAACTTTACTAACGCATGTTCCTGGATGAAGGTGGGTGCATTGTTAAAGTGTTCTGGGGTTCTGAGTTCCCTCTTCCATTCTTCTCCAGCACTGTCCTCTGCTCAGCTTCGCCCCACCATCCCCTTCCAACCTGAAGTTTCTGCCCTGGAGCCCACTGTCCATGTACTGAATATCCTGAAACCATGAGCCAAATTAATCTCTCAACCTTTAAGCTGTAAGTGTTGGGTACAGTAACAAAGCTGACTAATGGAGAATGTTAGAAGAAAACCTAGCTTAGGATTTAAACAGATTTGAATTGTCACTGTAATACCCACCAACTGAGTGACTTCGGTCAAATTATTTAACACCACCATAAAACAAAAACCCCTACCTGTTAAGGTTAATGTGCACTCATTAGAGAATAACACAAAGAAAGTCACTCCTCCTATGAAAGATGTTTCCTATGGGCCAGAGGCAGGTATATAGCTCAGTGGGACAGTGCTTGCCTAGCATATACAAGGCCCTAACTTTGATCACCAGCACCACAAAAAAAAGTCCAACTCTCATCATTCGGGATCATCTATTATAACTATACCAAAAGCACAGAATCCTGGGCTGTTGAATTCAAAAATATCTATCAGACTTCCTACCTTCTGGGAAGAATTACACATAGATAATACCCTAATACAGCACATGACATGGACTGTATACGCCATTAATGTTTACTGACCTCAAATGAATTACTATGTCACTATCATCTGGCCTATGATAGCAGCCTGGACTACCATGGAGTAGGACTGGCTACCCAAACTAGGACTCTTTAAATGCTCCTGTATACTCTCCCTAGGTTAAGTCACGTATTTACTGATACATCATACACTTATTCATATAAACAAATGTCAGAGTCATAACAAGGTGCTACGACAATTTAAGCTTTTTTTTTAAACAGGTAAGGAGGTAGGAAGGTTGTCCTTCTATTCCTGACAAACACAACGCAGAATAGACTAGAAAAATCCTAGACACTCAATCCACAGATGCAGGTACAGTCCTACCTGGGGAAGTGAAATATGCATGAAGTACCAGTAAGACACCATGAGTCCATTCACAACCTCTGGGTGACAAGTAGAAAACAGGCTTTTAAAGCGTCTAAAAATCACGGCTCAGCGCTCTTGCAACACTCTTTTACAACACCACGTGAGGCACAGAGGCACAACTCCCCGGCAATGTTAGGACCACACAACCATTCACAGGCTGAGAATCACAAGCTGCCCTTGTAAACACATAGTCGGGCAGACAGTCAAAAGAGGCCTTTCGCTATCTCTCTTCCAGACGGCAAACGCTGCATGGAGACACCAAGCAAACGCAGGGTCTGCAAGCAACCAACCCAAAATAAATAACTGGAGATTGTGACATTCCAGCGGTCCCCTTCATCTTTAACCTTTCCCAGATGCCATCCAATGAAATAGGGTCTGTCTGTCCCGAAACCCCGCGATCGCTGTACCCGAACGGACAAGACTAATTACCTCCTTCCCTGGGCCCTGTTCAGCCCCTTCTTAGACCCCGAAGCCCTGACTCGGTTATCCTCGTAAGTCACGTGTGCAGACTCTATCACATCTGTTAGCATGATCTGGGGAAGCAGAGAGGTTAATCAACATTCTAACACGTATTCCGGAGCCTTGCCACACTCGGGTCCAAACACTTCCCGAGGAGGGGCTGGACGTCAGCAACCCTAGTGACAGTCCCTCCGGTCGCCCTCGGGAGGCGCGAATTCCGCCCGGCCGCCCACGGCTCTTACCCATTTGTCCAGGGGGACCTGGGCGAGGGACCCGGTGCCCTGATACAGGTCCAGGCTGAGCTGCTCCAGGCTCAGCTTCTCCTGCAGGAAGTGGCCCAGGTACCTCTGCAGCAGGTACCGACAGGCCCTCTTCTTGATGGACTCTGAGAACGGCCAAGGCATGGTGACGGCTGGCGGCGGCGGCGGCAGCTGAGGGCGGGAGCGGCGGCTCCGGCCTCGAGACCCGGCCGGTGTCCCCTGCCCGCGGCGGGGTCTACGCCCAAGGTGGCCTCAGCATGCTGGTTCGGCGCCGCCGTCCCTCAGCTGAGGCGACCCATCCGCCGCGCCGCGCCGCGCCGCGCCCCCTGCGCTAGGCCCGGTGGGGACCAGGCGCTGAGTTGTACCCGCCGCCTCTGTCAGGGAGATTCCGGCGGTCCTAGTCGGGCCAGAGAGAGAGTGCAAGACACGGCGGGAGAAGCTGGCAGGGGCTGTAGCAACACCTCCCACGCCGCCGCGCGACGAAATTGTTGTCATCTACGAGGCACGCTCCCGACGCTGGGGACGCTCCCGGCGCGCTCGCGAGACCCAGACTTCCTGCGCGCCGTCGCGCAGGCGGAAGTGACGCCAAACAGGGAGGCGGGGGAAAGGGCCCGGGCTGCAGCACTTCCGGCGGTGGAGGGGCGAGAGTCCGGGCGAGAGCTAGGGCCAGCGCGAGGGAGGGGGCGGTGCCGCGGGTCGGCTCCGGACGCCTCCGAAGAAGGAAGAAGGTTCGGGACGCGCGCAGGTGAGCTCTGTCGGGAGGGCACCAGGAGGGCTGCGGGCGGACGAGAGACGGGCGTCCCCCGAGAGGACGGGCAGGCGGCCAGGCCCTCCGGACTGGGACGCGGCGCAGCAGGGGCGACGGGCAGACGAGGCCCGGGTCCGGCCTGGTGTCCGGGTCCCGCAGATCCCGGCCCCTCGCGAACTGGTGTTCCGGGGGCCGCCGGCTGCGCGGCGACTGCTGAGCGTCTCGGGCATCCCTGCCCAGTGCGTGGGCGGGTGCTGTTGGCGGCAAGTTGTTGGTCCTCCGCTTCCTGCAGGCATTGTTTCCAAAGCTTGCTCTTCACTACTGTGCGTCCAGAGGGGTGCGGCTTGCAGAACGACCGGGAAACTTGGGGTGTCAAGGCATTTGTGAGCGACATTGCTTTCCGCGATAGATGCCAAAGCCTCCCTACTGACTCCGCGGAGGCCTCGGTGAAGTAGTGTGTGTGCTGTCTTGGGAATCTGCGCAATCGAACGTCTGCGTTCTGGGTAGCGAGTCCTGCAGAGGCGGAGCTGTGTGTTCATTGCGTTGGGCGACCCAGAGAGGCCCGGGGGCAGTGGCCTGGAAGCCAGAGGTCTTGGATTAAAGCCCTGACATTGGTACTTTTTGACCAAGCCACCTTGAACCGGCCACTGACCTCTCTGAGCCTGCTATCCCTGCCTCTGTAAAAGTAAGCGAATTAGTATCTTAGGTCCAAAGATTGTTGGAAGGATTAAATAATGTGAGACGAGCACATACCTAGACAGGGCCCACAACATACAGCTTTTAAATTAAGAGTAATGAATTAGGATGACAAGTTTAAATAATTAAATATTAAACATCTTGGTGACTGTTTCATGAATGTTAACACAGACCAGAAATGTCGACAGATAAAGATTTGGTTCTCCTTTCCATTTTAAACCAGTGTGCTGGTTCAATTTCCCTATGATGAATGTTACCATGGTGTGTATCAAAAATGTGCCAATAAAAGTTTTAAAAACACAGAAATAAAAATGAAACCAGTGTGCTCTCCACTACATGTGGTGGTTGAATTTTTGATGCCCCTCGTTCTTTGTAGACTCTTCCCAGGAACTTCAATTCCTGTGCTTTTTGTTCATAAATACATTTTTAAAAGCCTGTGACAGGGGCCGGGGAGATGGCTCAGTGGAATAAGTGCTTCCCTGGCAAGCGCAAGGGCCTGAGCTCAATCCCCGGTTCCGCAAAAAAAAATTTTAAAAAAGCCTGTGGTATAAAACTCACTACAGTTAATGATCTGGAAAGTGTAAAACAAAAATCTTGCAGAAAGAAGCTGAGGCTATAGCTCAAGGGTACAATGTGTGCCTAGTGTCAGCTGCCTTGGGTTCAGTCATTACCACCAAAAGAAAAAAGAAAGCCACAACCTTCAAGGAGCTTAGTAGAAGGTCTGTTTGTTCATCTAATGTTTATCGATTTCCTGCTATGTATCAGAAACTGCTATAGGTGTTGACACGTCAGTAAACACATTACATCCTTGCCTTCTTGGAGCTTGTATTTTATTAAAGGGAGGGAAAACAGACAAGCAAATTGAGTAACACACAAGCAGTGCTGAGTGCCACAGGAGGAGTAAAGCAATTGTTATGGTTCAGAGTTCAAATGTCTCCCAGAAGCTTGTGTGTGGAAGGCCTGGGCCTTGACCTGTGGCACCATGGGAAGTAGTAGAAACTTTCCCCTAGTGGGAAAAAGCAGGTCATTGCAGGTATGCTGGAGTATTAGGACCCTGTTCCTTTCCTCTCAATCTCTCTCTGTTTCCTGGCTGCTGTGAGGTGAATGCGTGGTTTTCCTCTGCCGCATGCCTCTGCCGTGGTGCAGTGCCTCACCACAGGCCCAGAAGCCATGGGGCTAAGATACCATGGACTGAGATCTCTGGAACCATGAGCCGAAAGAAACATTTTACTTGATTATCACAGGTATTCGGTCACAGAGGCAGAAAACTGACACACTGTAAAGGAAATGGAGAACAGGTAGAGGTTTGCCTTTCTGATATGTATAGAGATGTAAGAGATGGCCTCTTCTTTCATAAGATGAGATTTTAGCAGAGAATTGGAGAAAGGAAGTGAGTCATGTAGATACCGGGTAGAGGAGTTTTCCAGACAGGAAGCACAGCGAATGTGAGGCTGTCGCAGGAGCATGCTCCACAGTTCATGGAACATCAGGAAGATAGAAGGGAAGAAAGAAAAACTGAAGGGGTACGAGTGGGTCAAACAGGCTTTTGTTGGCCATTGTAAGGACTTGGGCTTTTCTGTGGGTGAAATATGTCAGCTTGCTAACCACTGTGTTGAAAATGACCTGCTGGAGGGACTGGAGGGCATAAGGGGAACACAGCAAGACCATTTAGGATATTGCAGGGGCTGGGGAGATAGCTCATCAGTCTAAGCACCTGCCTGGTGAGCACAAGGACCCAGGTTCGATCCCCAGTACTACTGTGCCATGCTTCCCACCAAATCCCAGCGTGGTGGCGCATGCCTGAAAACTAGAATTGGGGAGGCTGAGACAGGAGGGTTACTACAAGTCCCTCCTGCGTAGCGAGACCCTGTACCAAATGAGTAAATAAATAAATATTTTTTAAAAAATATAAAAAGGATATTGTAGTAATTGAGCCTGCTGCTCAGTGGATTAGACTAGAGTGGTAGCTGTTAAGATGGTTAAATTGAAGCAGTTGAGTTTCGGATATGTTTTAAATATAAGAAGACGTGTTTATAAGAAATAATTATACTTGCCATTACAGGAGTATAAGCAAAGTGGCATGAAAAGTCAAAAGGGTGAATCCCAACTGACAGTGAAATGGGCCTTGGGAGGCTTAAGCCTGACTTCTGACAAACAGCCGGGACGTGGACTTCTTTCAGTGACCGTTAAAGGGTTTCCTCCTAGTACACAGTTACATGTAAGCTGCCCGTAGGATGCCCGCAATTTCAAGTATCAGGAAGGAAAGTAAAACTTGAGGGGTTTACAGTAACAAAACCTTCTATTGAAAGTATTAAGCGTGCTACTTTATGTATTTTATGCTTTCTACATGATTGAAATTCAGCATAAATGTTAGGGGTAGTACCTGTCATAAGATAAAAGTTCCCCCAAGTCACAGTGCTATTCTTGTGTTTTATCAGAGACAAAATTCTGGGCTTGGCCGTGCAGAGCTATAATCCCAGCTACTCAGGAGGCTGAGGTAAGAAGATCACAAGTTTGAGGTCACCGTGCAAGACTTAGTCTCAAAATAAAAATGGACTGGGAAATAGCTTAGTGGCAGAGCACTTGGCTAGCAAGTGCTAAGACTTGGTTCAGTCCTCAGTACTGAAAAGAAAAGGGAAAAGAAAAAAAAGTACCTAGCACAAAATGCATAACAATAGTTGAATGAAAGCAGCTGCCCAGCTAAATATTGTCAGCTGTTTAAAAATTACACTAATTTTTTTTTTTTTTTTTTTTTT